TGCAACTGCAGCGCAGCTCCCCACCCCCACCTTCTCCCAGTGGTGGTGGCAGAGCAAACCATCGTGGCACATGGAGGTGAAGCACTTGTCACCCACCGACTGATCGTGGTGGCACCAGGTACCTGGGGTGGGCTGCTGTGGGCCAACAGCGTGGGCAGCAGCAGGAGAAGACAATGGACTGCCGCAGCCCGGTCCGGTCCAGTCTGGCCCATCCCCACAGCCCAGGGGTGTAAGCAGCAACTGGCCCGTGGCAGCCCTCTCCTGCTGGCAGTGGAACAGCGAAGCATCTCAGCGGGCAGAGGTGAGGCACCTGTCACCCACTGCTTGCTCACAACAGTGCTGGGCATTCGGGGCAGGCTGCCACAGGCCACTCACTGCTCACTCCCGGGGCCGCAGGGCCAGGCCAGACTGGGCTGTACTCCTGGGACGCAGGGCTGGGCTGGATCAGACTGGGTTGTGGTGATCCATTGCCTCCCCCTGCCGCTACCCACAACCCTGACCCACAGGAGCCCACCCAAAGCGCCCGGCACCACCACAAACAAGTAGCCGGTGACAGGTGCTTCACTTTCACCTGCTATGATAGTTTACTCCACCGCCACTGGGAGAGGTAGGGGCGGAAAGCCACACTGCAGCTGCAACTCACCTGCAAACTGTGGTCCCCCACGGGGCTCAAGGCAGGAAGTGGCAGGTGCTGACACCCGCCCCCTGGGGATGCCTTAGCCCAGGCCATGCTACCGCAGCAGGAGGCAGCAGTGAGTCAGGCTCTGTAATGAACCCCGGCTCCGCTGCCCCTTGAAGCCAGGTCACATCCCCCTCCTCACCCCTCCCCACGGCCAGCTGGCCACTCCTCGGAGGGACTCAGCCCAGGCTGCTATGTTGGTGCCCGTGCCACTGCTGCCTGCAATGGGAGGATTAACCCTCCCCCTGCCCCCACTTCCCCTCAGGCTACTGGCGCGTGGCTGCAGCGGCCTCAGGTATGTGGCCCCAAGTGCACAAGCGGAGCCTATTGGTGCCTGCGCTGCCCCCTCTCCTCCCCCCCCTCCACTTCCACTCCGGCTACCAGGGTCTGGTCCCACCCTGCTCCTGCCATTGGAGCAGCAAGGGGAGTGGGGGACTGGGGATGCTTGGCAAGGACTACTGCCCGCTTGCCGGGCAGACCTGGCAGCGCTCCAGAACAGGGTTTCCCACCCCCACGTCTTTCTCAGCCAGCCAGAGCAGTAACAGTGTTCCAGCTAGGGAGGAGAGGGACAGGGCCAACGCTGCTTGGCTGGAAAAGACAGCCCAGCGAAGGGCTGCAGAGCATGCAGGGATGCTGGAGGACTCTGATTTAACTTAAACCAAGAAGGGGTCTGGGACACAAGTTCCATAAACCAGTTTGACCTCAATCAGTTAAGTCTGATACTACATTCAACCCGGTTTATCTCAAACCGGTTTCAGCCATTTGGAAATTGGTTTATGTGCACTGAACTCATGTGCTGTTACAGGTTTAAACCACTTTCTGATCACTTAAACCAGTTTGTGTGTGACTTCTGTCCTAAGAAAGGATTTAAAGTAGCAAGGTGTGAAGTAAGGTAGACTGGAAAAATAAATGAAAAATAATAGATACTGGGTCATAGGAAAGGAGACACAATGATAGGGAGGGATCAGAAAACAAAGAGGGTAATTCAAAAAGAGAGTTGGGCATTCTAAAGGAAATTGGGGGTTGAATCAAAAGAGACCAGAGCATGCAGAAAGAGATGAGGGAAAGAAGGGAAGAGCAGACTCATTCACAATCAGTTTTTATCAATATTTCCCCTGAAAGACTGCAAGTTATTATGATCACAAGAGTCTGCTATAAGGCTGCAAGCTACTAAGCTCACAAGCTTTTGTGGTAAACTTTTCTTTAAAAATGCCTACTCAAACCTGCCAAAGCTTACAGAATGGATGACATGTATCTTCAGGATTTTTCCTTTGAAATCAAGATTTATTTTATTTTTTAAAGAAACATGATGGCCAGCAAACAGGCTTCTCAGCTTGCTATGCTGATAGCTGAGCAATGTTCCTGTAGATTTGATAGGGGTAGGAGGGGAATCACAAGCACTCAGCTTGGACTTCATAGTGTGGCTTGACAGCACCTCCTACATATCTTTTACTCTTTTCCTCTTACCTTATATTTTAGGCATCTATCCCTTCCACTTTCCTCCAAGATTACTTAAAAGCAGCTGGCAGTGCCTATTTCATCTAAAAAAAAACCCCCACCTAAATTCTACCCATCTTGCCTAGTCTTTTCAGTATATTCCAAGGTAGATTCACTCTATATCCAAGTTACATATCCATGTCCTTTGCTCTTATTTTTATGACCACGGGGTGCATCCCCACCTGCAGGGCATTGTAGTGGCAAAAACCATAGCAGCAAAGATTTGTGCCACTACTCTAGCAGGGCACTTGGGGTGCCTGCCATTTTAAGAGGTCACCGACAGGTGAGGGTCAGGGCTAATTGTGGAGTCAGCTGACCCAGGGAGCCTACAGGTGAGGCTAGGCCTGATGAGGGGAGTCACCTGATTGGAGGAGGGCTGGGCTTAGGCAGGATATAAACCCAGACCCTGAGAGTAGGGCTGGCAGTAACATCTTGAGATCTGGTGGAGGAACACTGCCTCCTCCATTCAGGTACAGCTCCTGAGTGCCAGCAAGAAGAATAACATCTGGAGCAGTCTGGAGGTTTGGGTAAGGGGATGGAAGAGGTCCTGAGGACCCAGTGTGGGGTCTGGAGCCCTCAGAAGGGGGGCAGTTGGATGCCTTTGGGCCTATTGAAGGGCCAGGTGAGATCTGAGAGAGGGGCCAAGTAGTTAAGAGACCTATTGAAGGATCTGGCTGAACCCAGTGAGCGAAGCAGAGTGTGGGGGCCTACTGAGGGGTCCAGATGAGCCCAGAGAAGGAAGGAGCTAGGGAAGACCTATTGAGGGCTCCAGGTGAGCTCCAGAATGAGTGACCAATGGAGGGGCCCAAGAGGGCAGATAGGCAGAGAAGAGAGGGCTGACAGCCGGAGGACTGACCCTTGGAATCTCAACTGGTCTGTGCGGGGCCAGGGCCCAGGAGGGGCCCAAGGCTGAAATCAACCACAGCAGAGGCTGCTGGAGCTGAAAGAGCCTGAAGTTCTCAGTTGGCCTGAGGCAGGGCCAGGGCCCACAAGAGGCCAAAGGCCCTTGTGTAGCCACAACTGAGAGGAAGAGGTCAAAGAGCGTGCAGCAGCCCAAAATGGTGATGGCTGATGCTAGGCCATCCAAGGAGGAGGGATCAACAAAAGGGGTCTGAGAGAGAACCAGGAGGCAGAGATGGAGGGCCCACAGGCTGGCAGCCCAGGAGGGGTGTAGGATATCCAGGGGGAGCCCAGTAAGGGATGAGTAAGGTCAGGAAGGCCTGAACACACTAGTTCTAGGTAAGACCTGAAACTGCACCCTACTGGAGCTGGTTAGCATGGTGGGGCTACCTGTGGCAGAGCAGCCACTATGAAATGCCACGCATGAGCCACCCCAGGGGAAGGCAAGTATGGGACACCAGAGAGGCTTAGCTCCCATTGCCTTGTGGGTTATCCTGTGGAGGGGGAAGGCTAGGGGAGCACATCCTGACAGAAAAGCACTGAGCAGGGAGACCAAGGCCATGGGGGTCCAGAGCCCCAGAGAGAGGTCAGGAAAGACCAGGACCATGCAGGTCATGGGGCCCAGAAAGGGGCCAGGGAAGAATAGGACTGCAAGGGGCCAGGGAAGAGTGGGACCGGGAGGGTACATCAGCCCAAATAGGGGGCAAGGAATAGTTGGGGCCGGATGGGTCGGAGGGCCTGGAGAGCGGTAGTGAAAATCAAGGACCAGAAGACTCCAGGATGAGACCAAGGGGCTGGTAGCCCAGGGAGTGGTTGAGAGAGACCAAGGGGTCTGAGGGCCCAGAGAGGGACTAGAGAAGAGGCTGAGGGGTCTGGCAACCCAAGAGGAAGACCAAGGGGTTGGGCAGACCAGGAAGGGGCTGTGCAGAGAGACCAAGGGGTCTGAGGGCCCAGAGTGATGCTGAGGTGCCGAGGGATCAGAAGATCCAGAGAAAGGCTGCATAAGCAACTGGTAGACCATCAATGAGGATGCCATCTACAAGGCTTGGGGCATGGTGTACGGGTGGAACAGAGCCACACAATTTTGTCCATAAGGCCTTGGCCACAATCCTGGTGGTCACTGTAACAAGACCAGGGCAGCCCCCCTCACTGTTTAGAACCATTAACATCAAGGCATGGAGGACAAGAACACGGTAGGGTGCAAGAAATGTTTTTGGTTTCCAGGGACTTATGGCCACCCCTAAAGATGGTACCCTATGACAGCTACTTTTTGCTGTTGTGCACACCCCTGCACACGTGCTTTAGTGTGGGGCAAGCTGCCCTTTCTCTGTTTCTCCCAGCTCCTGGTGTGCTGGAGAAGCCAGGACAGAACTAAAGGAGGGGATATACTCTGGCCAGCAGCCAGAGGATCTCTCTAGAAGACTGAGCCTCCATGTTTACCAGTGCACATTTCTGTGGCATGTGCCATGCCGCTTTTTTTTGTGACTTTTTCTTTGCTACTGAGATTTCCGTGCGACACATTTTAACATGCTGGGCATGCAGTCTGTGCTGTTGCAAAGAGGTTTGTGGTGTACGAAGGCCGCACATGCCTGAATGTCTGGATCCAGCCATGCGCTTTACTTAGAGTGATTATTATGTACAGATTGAGACATCTTCAACAGCCACATCCAGACTTCCCTGAAAGCATCTCTTATACTAAAAGACAGTGAGAGAGAGTAATTTAGGAAGTCAAGTAGTACCCTTGAGTAAAAGAGCAACAGCAGTCCTTCTTAAAAGTTTTCAGTGGCTCTCGGGATGCTTAGACCAACAAAATGACAGCAATAAGACATACCCTAATTTTTTCCCCCCTGTATCTCACAGAAGAAAAGTGTAGAATCTTTTGTCTGTCTGTATCTAACAGTTTGATTGAAATGAAGAGGGAATATTGTGTAGTCAAAACCATTTATCAAAAACAAATTAAGAAGGCAACAGATAAGCCATGAATAGCTGGAGGAATCAGTGTAGCCATTGTAGAATGAGCGCAGAATTCGACCAATGTTGAACTCTTGAAAATCTCATCCTCCATCAATTTATTATCTCAGCTAGAACCTGTGTGGATGCTCTCAACTGGAAATCCAGGCAGTGAATCGGCATGAAGACCAAACTGTCTGACATCTCCACTAGGAATTGTTTTGTATTCTAGAGCAATGATGCAACTACAGTGGTATTTCTAGATGGACACATACAAACACAAATAGGACAAAGAAGTTATCATTGAGACATCTACCCACAGCAGTAAAATGTCCATGCTCTATCTATTACTACGATTTATGCTGAACCTACAAATAGGGAAGTGGTTTCAATCTGTAGACGAGCACCTTGAGCTAACCACTCAACCATGACCTCACCACCACTCACTAACCACCATGACCTATGGATGCTTAGAGTACTACTTCTGTCTTTTCAGTGGATATCTAGAAGAGGTCTGTCTCCAAGACTGTCAGCTGAACAGTTATGGAGCACTTGGGACAAACCAGCCTACCAGGGAATCTGCATACTTCTGTTCCTCCCACAAGTTTTGCTGTACTCTCTTCAATCTCAGCTTCCACTAACAAACTCACAAATTAAAAAGTAAAGCTTCCAGTTCCTCTGAGGCAAAAATAGCTAATCTCAGTCCAAATCAGAGGACTTACTGAGTCTGCCATGAGACAGAATGTAATAATAGCACCAAAAGAGGTGTGAACTTGCCCTATAAATCTTAACAGTGGTATGTTTGCATTTAAATGGTCATAAGCAGGCTATGAGCCAAGAGGAGCTGAATTCAAGAGGTTTAATTTGAGTATGAAGTCTCTTCCTGGAGAAGGAAGTAATGTCAAAATCAAGGGAGGTTTCTCAACTGATGCTTGTATGGGTTTAATGTTTATTAGATAGAATTCTGCATCACTTAGAAATGAGTCAGTAGTTTAACAGATAAAAGGGTTGAATTCTTTTTCCATTCTGCAAATAACAGATACTGCCATAGCTCTCCCTAGACATAGATTCCTAACTCAAGAATGGTGTGCCCCTTAGCAAGCTAGATGATACATCCACTCGGGTTTCCACAGAGGTAAAGTATTATCCAATCAGTACTCTGATGGCACTGTAAGTGCCACTGATTAGATATAGATTGTAGCCATGTTGGTCTAAGGACATAGGCAGACAAGGTTTTTTGGGTAAATCTAATATCTTTTATTCGACCAACCAAAATAGTTGGAAAAATTCTTCTTTGCAAGCTTTCAGGTACAAACACCCCTCATTAGGCTGAGGAAGCATCTGCAGTTGGCCCATGCTCTTCCTGGGTGGAAGATCCACTTGGTCTGTGCTCTTGCTGTGCTCTGTTCCACCCAGGAAGAGCACAGACCAACTGCAAGTGCTTCCTCAGCCTGACAAAGGGTGTTTGTACCTGAAAGCTTGCAAAGAAGAATTTTTCCAATTATTTTAGTTGGTCGAATAAAAGATATCAGATTTACCTAAAGCACTTTGACTGATTAGAGGCTACTTTAAAAATACCATTTTTCTGCTGTAGAATAATAATTAAAATTGAAGACAAAGGTACTTACTTGAGGTGAGCTTGGTCATGTCAGGTAGTAAACTCATCAAATCACTAAGAGCTAAGGAAACGGGCAGAGTACATTACATTTGTATTCAAACCTTGCAAGCTCTAAAATTGTACTGTAGCCTGATGAAATAATGTCCTTGGACAATAACTGATCCTGCACTTTAAGATACTTTATTCATATGTTTAAATTAAGCATGTGCTTGTCTCCCTGATGTCACTAGAACTACTCATGTACTTAAAGACAGGCATGTGTTTACCTACCTTGTTGAATCGGGGCTCTATAACATGACGGTGAGAAAATAAAAATGAAGGCCAGATCTAGACGACCCAAGGATAGGCAGTGAGCAACTTCTCCTGACACTGCTTGCCACTTGTCAGTTCCTCACAGGAGAAGAACTGTCACATGGACCAATACATAACCTAAACTGTGAAGTCCAAAAATGTTCTAATCTGCTTCTGACACAAGTTGTTAAGAGCGCTATCACAAAAATACAGGTTTTCCTACTAAGTTCCTACCATGCTTCAGAAATCTAAGTGTAAAGAGTTTAGAAAGACAAATATAAAAATGTCCAATTTTAAGCACTTTTTAAAAGTCACCTGGCTTGTCCTCTCTGTCCAGTCCATGCACCCAAGTTCTTATATCAGTGATCATCACTTGCATCTCAGGTTAGGTCTACTCTGAAATTAGAAGTATGTTTTCAGCATGCTTAGGCATTCCTGATCTAGCAGTGAAACCAAGCCAGCAGGTTTCAATGTGGACCAAAGAAGCCTGGCTAGGATCCTACCTATACGCTTACCAGCTGAAGCTGATGCTGGGGTAAGTTTGCTGCTCTGGGTGCCTCAACCATGTAGACAAAAACTAGCTAGGTGGCTGTGCATGTGTCTCAATTGCTCCTCTGGCTGCAATGTAAACATGCCTCAAAATGTTATAACATAAAAAGGAGATAAAATAATATTTCTCTATTACATTAAGTAGATAAAATTTGATCTACTTTTTTGAGGGCGAGTTGGAGATGGGTTGGGAGTATATGTAACAGCGGTATTAAAGCTATCATGAGAGAATAAGTCTTATTTCGTTTTGAATGCAGGGAGCTTAATAGTAATCTTGATTTTGTCTGGCAAAGACTTCTGTATGTCTGCTCTGGCTCCTGTAAAAGTTCCATCTAATGCTGTTGTCTACTGGCCCCATAATTGGCTGAAAATCTTGTTTAGTGGAATACAACTCTTGTGAGAGGTAAGAGTTGCAGAGGACAGTGGGTGAAACACTCAAGAAGCTCTGAATTTGAGTCTTTTATCAAGATAATATTGTAATAGCTGTGCTACAGGACAGAGTGCATTCTAGCAATGTTCTGGCCTTTTTTAATAGGATGGTGAGGCTTATTTTTCTTTTTCCTAAGAAGCTGTAAGGCATTTTCTTTATCCTTGGTCATGCCTGAAGATTTTACAGAAAATGACTGGTGTAGATTCAGACATCAAACTCTAATCAAGTGCAGGAAGTATTGATTTGTTATCCTCTTAGATCAATGGGCCCAACCTTGCTAAAGTGTGCTTTTTTGTTGTTGATGGGACTGTCCAGTAGTGTCTACACCCAAGACAAAATACTATGCCTGATTACTTCAGTGCATGATGTTGTCTTGAGTTTACCCTGTACTTGAAGAGATGTATAATTAGCATAATAAATCAAATTGTATCTTTCATTTTCCTAACGTAACTCCATGGGAGTCAATAGCTCAATTCTGTCTCAAGAATTACTTTGGAACCATGGATTTATCTTTACACGTTTTCTGCGAGTTCCAGTTTTCAAAGTGTTTGAAAAATGCCTTGTACGTCTTCCCAAAATTGTTCCAGTGAACTTCTAAAGAGATATCCTGGCATTTAAGTCCATTGCTTTATCTAAGCAAACAAGATGTTCTTTGTCTTTAGAAAGTGGTCCAAAACACTCACTTCCCGGAAAACAGCAACAAAAATTATTTCAGCAGGCTGGCTCTCATAGCTCTCCATATGGAAGGGTAAAATGCTGTATAATCAGTCACATGGGGTGCTAGCATACAGCATGCTACCACCCATACAAGCCACACCCATATTGCTGTGCATATACCACACCCATATGACGTGCCTGCCTTGGCAAACAACTGTAACAGGCAATTGCTGGATTCAAAAATCGACAAGCAGGATGTGTAAAAAGTGTATTAAGTATAAATGTCTGGCATAACAGTGCCAGATATGAAGTAGATATGAAAAACAGGATAAAAATGTGTCAAAGTACTTCTAGCTCTTCTTTTACAAATTATAAAGCATTCTTACACAAACCAGTCAAATGCAAGATTCACCAGCCTTGCACATAAGTCCTGATTCTCTAGTGCGGGACATGGTGCCTTTCACTAACTTCACTAGGGTCCCATGTGGGTACAGGAGTGTACTGGGACAGACTGCATTGTACAGTTCAGGGGCATTATAGTACTAGAAGTATATAGGGCCTTAAAACCCCTTCAGGTTTCTACTCCCTCTGGCAACACAGCTGAAATGGGGTGGCTGCATGGAAGGGAACAAATGTATGCTGTCCTTACAGCACAATCCTTCTGTTGGCCCTCTGAGTTCAGGGAGCAAGGAGCTGAGCATGTTTGGGAAGGCAGCTCTTCCTGGGTACCAATTCCTCCTGTCTATTCAACAAAGATAACCTAATCAGGCTTGTCCTACATGAGAAGTACACCTTCATGACATATGAACCCATTTCCTCTCAGGGAAATCTTGGGAGACAGCTAGTTACAGGAGCCATGCTTCCATAGCAAAAGGAATTTGGAAGCTGTAAGTTTCCACAAATGTCCCCAAATCTCTAGATTTTGGGGGCTGAACCTCTTAACTGTTCCCCACAGGTTAGGGCGCATACTGCCTTCTCTCACTGTTAGCATGAAACTGAAGTTTGGCTCCCAGGTGGGCCTCTCACCTAAACAATGATCTAGTCCCTAATCCCATTTGGGTTCTAGAGCAGGGGAAAGTTTTAATTGCCTTGTATGGCAAATAATTGTTTTCATCCTCCCTCGTATTCTGCTATGAACTCTCATCTATCAGTCTCTCCAGAAATACAGTAGAAATAAGGGAGCCCTAACAACTGTTCCCCAGGGCACCCTTGGGGAGAACCAGGAGTAATGGCCACAAATTCCTGGAAGACCGTTTCAGGCTCAACATTAAGAAAAACTTCTTCATACTTAGACTGTGGAATAGGCTCCTTCCAGAGGTGGTGCAATCGCCTACCCTGGAAATCTTCAAGAGGAGACTGGAAAACATCTTCCTGGAGTCACCTGACCCCACCTGTCTTTCCTGCCTGGTACAGAGGGCTGGACCCAATGATCTTCCAAGGTCTCTTCCAGCCTTACAACCTATGAATCTAATCCTCTGCTAGTGCACTAAATATGAAACATCCTGCTAGCCCTGGAAATAATTATAAAATTCTGAAATAACATGTACTATTGTGGCACATTTAAACTAGCAATTTGCAAAATATGCTGCCATCTTCTCACTGGCCAGGTCTACATGAGCGACTGACTGCATAGTTGTTACTGCGCAGTCGTTTAGTACTTGCATAACCAAGTACTAAATGACTGCACAGTAACCGGCGTTATTGCGCAGTAGCATCCTTGCACATTGTTTTCTGACACTACTGCACAGTAGCTCATTACTACTACAGGGTAGCATCATATCACAGTTAGTGCCCCCAAATGCTACCGCGCAGTAGCCAACAAGCTGTTGCACAGTAGCTCATTGCTACTGCACAGTAGTGTCTCGTGTAGATGCGCCCCCTGGCCAGGAGACCTAAAGGCAGGTTTCATCACTTGCAGATGGAGCTTGGCTTTCAGAAGTTTAGATTATGGTGTTTTGAGACGTGGCGTCTTATTTGTGATCTGGGTACACAACTCATAGATTCATAGATTTTAGGGTCTCTATTAGATCATGGAGTATGACCCCACGCCATGGGCAGGAAAGAGTACTGGGTTCAGATGACCCCAGCCAGGTGTTTGTCACAATCATAACACATAATCCTTGTCCTTGTTATACAACTTTGCCTGTCCTTAAAGACATCTTTACAGTGATAAGATGCCCCCATCATTATATATAAGGTTTAGTTTTGGTTTTTTTAATAGACATTCAAGTTTGGGGTACAGTGTATCTACAGACACAGAAAAGACTTACAATCACTAATCTATACAGTGCATATATAGCAAACATTAAATCAGCAGTATATGCAGTAATTGATTACTACCTTTCTTGCTCTATTCTTTTTAAACTTTAAACCCCAAATTAGACTTTTATAATTAAAAAAAAAAATCACTTTAAACAAAGTTGCAACTTCAGGAAAATTACACCTTTATCCTACCAAGAACTGCACATTTACTTTTAGCATGCAGGTGGTCTAGTTAGGATCTCATGTTTAAATTTAAACAAGTGCAAAAGTCTTTTTGGGATTGAAGATTTCTGTGGTTAAAGACTTAGGGTATGTCCCCACGAGCGTACATGTGCAATCTGCTGTGCCTCAAAGCTGTGTGATGCGCCACAAACCATATGCGGCACACATGCACCCCTACACCTGTAGCATGGTGCACCCCTGCAGCACGATGGGGTTTTTTGACACTGGGAGATCCTGGCGTCAAAAAAACTGCTGCTAAAAAAAGCATCACAGCACACAGGGCAGCAGCACACACCTCCAGAAACCAAAGCCTGGCTGGCCAGAGCCATGCTTTGGCTGCTGATCAGGCTCCGACCCAGGAAGCCAGATAAGGCTGCTGGGGCCAGCCAAGGTGCTGGCCCCAGCCTCCCCTACCCCATCTGGGTCCCTCTGCCATGCACCAGCATACATGTGTCCCTGGGCATGCCCAGGGACAAAGAGCAAACGGCACAAATATGTACCGCTGTTATTTTGTCCCCACACGAAATGCACGCCCCTGCACGTGCATACTCGTGGGGGCGTGCCCTTAGAGTCTAATTCTCCCTCCTGTATCCATGTTTGGAAGGCCTGTCACCAAAGAGGAAGTTCTACAGGCTCTTCTTCCTTTCTTCCATCTTCTTCCAAGGCCACAGGCCTCAGTGAGGTCCCAGATGAACAGCTAGGCTGTTTTTCCCTCCACACTGTGAACACTGCTGTGCAGTGCAGTGGTGTCCCTATGAGCACTGCTTCTGTAGGAGGAGCTTGCACGGTCCAGCACAGGCAGGGATCAGTGAAGTCAAGTGGCAGGTTGGTTCCTGCCAATCTTCCAGTATCTACACAGAACTTGGGAGCTGTCACAGTTAGATACATAATAGGGACAGGGCAAAGACAACCCTCTCGTACTGGAATGAGAAATTGCTCCCCAGTATAGAGGAACATGGGCCATAACACTACCAATGTTTGTAACTCTATGAATCACTTCCAGGAGAAAGCATAATAGTCTGTGCAGCACACTGACAATTTGGAAACCTTATCACAGGCAAAAGCATGCTGTGTAATTGCCTATATTACACTGCCTACAAACAAAGGTTTTTCTTTTAGAGCATTTTAAAATGGTAACTAACTCGAAGCACAGCATGCCAGGAAAAAGTGTACCCAAAGAACTGAGACTTTCAGACCATCCTTTGCATTCATGCACTTTGAAAGTGAACATAAGGAGCCCAGTCACTGACCTTTTCTAATTTTTCAAAGTGTTCTCGCAGGAACTTCATGGGCCGGTCGGGTTTTGCAATGCAAAGGTTTACGATACAC